ATGTGTACTATATAGTCTTCGTTTGTTAATATTCTGAATATTACAAAGTACACACAACCTTACCCTTTGTTCAAGTATATATCTACCTAACACCTTTCATATATTGGCAACACTGATTACCTGTCATCAACAAAGTTAACTAACGCTCACAATGAGATCAGAACCGAATAATTCGATCAAAAGAGCTCCTTTATGCACAAATATAACCTTTGAATTATGTAGTATATGGGTAGAGGAAGTGCCACGGAACTTGAAAAATCCGTACTGTTCTGTGAAATTGCGCATGCTCCTGATGGTTTCGGACTGTTTATATTTTGAACGCGAGCAAGCCTATAACCTGCAGTGAAGTTCCGACGAGGAAGGTGGGGGGAACATTCAAAAGTACATTTTTGTCAGTTAGTGTTGGTTCTTTCAAACAATGGTCATGTACATAATCAATCTACATAAAATTAGGTAATAACAAAAATAATTTCATAGGCGTCTCAGTTTTTGCAGAAAAGAGAAATGCAGTATGACGATTATTTACAAACTATGATTTAGTCTTGAATCTGAGAGAACAAGACCTGACATATCATTCCATCCTCTTTACGATAGAAAGCAAGAGTTCTTGTGAAGTAGGCTTCGCTATGATGGATCTGAGGTGATTTGACCATGAAACAGTATTACTGATGGTGTTACCGAGCATAGATATTGTGGACTTATTGTGGGAGAGAATGGTGGTACATACCAATAGACATTGTTATATCAGGCATGCTGAGTTTGACGTTTGGCTTCCTTGAAGAAAATTCAAGCTTGAGTTTTGGTGGCGTTGAATTCAACCAGGTTGTTGGATCTCCAGGCTGAAATTTTAGCAACATCTTCATTGACGCCGCGTTGACCTATCTTCGTCGTGAGTTCCTAGTATCCTGTTCCTGTAGTTATTTCCATCTCGGTGGGTATAATAATATGTCAGAAGTTCAGTCTAGTCGAACCACATCTGTCTCGTTCGACTACACTTTGATTAATTTTACGTTTTTTTTTAACGTTGAATGGGAAAAAAATGTAACACGTTGTAACGAATAGGTGCCGATTGGGTCATGAATAATCTACAGTGGCATCGATGTATGAGGGTTCACATAATCAATTCCACTGGATATATTATTTTCTTTTAATTTGCAATGATAAAACAGGGATTATCGGTAAGACATTTATTGAAAAAAAAAAATAAACATGATAAACATCTCTAAAATTCATCATCACATAAGTACTATAGTATTGGCAATATTCAATCATAGTTGAAAATATAAGAAACAATGACTAGTTGTTCAAAAGGAAGTGGAAACACACCTTGCCACATACCTGTTAGTCCATCATGAAGCTAATATTTCATCATATTTAACGTTTTCAAATCATGAAAATTGATCTTCCTCTTTGGTGCATGCAGTTTTTAATAACCAAATATGGGGATAATCAAAAAATTTAGTATAATTCTATATCTATCTTTCAAGTATTACTCCTAGGTCCATAAACACTAGGTAAAACCGAGAAAATAAATATGCAATTTATTCATTTTGAATTTTAATTTTTCGAGCGTAATGGGCGAGTCGACTGATAATGAATTATTGGCATTCAATTACTCCACTGTGTCGTTAGGGACCTAAATTAATTTTTGCAACACTTCTCCCGCTTTTTTTTATGTAAATAATGAGTCAATGCGTTGTTCGAACTCATTGAATTTCAGAGCTCATTTCAAAAGTACCGTCATGGCCGCCATTAAGCGATACGTCGAATGAATGGTGACGTCAGTTTTTATGCTGTTGCGTTATTGGTCAGAGCCACAAATCCTAAGGGAACATTTTGAAACAATTGATTTTGTATTGCTGAATAGAAATATTACCAATACATAATTGAGAATTTATGAATTATTGAATAACTAATATTTCTGAAGTTCCCAATCGTATTTCAACATGGCAACTGTGCTATGGTCTGCCCCTACTTACGAAATCGTGACGTCAGTTTTTACTCGCGGTAAATTTCTATCCGTTTGAAAATTACCGTGGCATTATTGATGATTTTAGCACCTGAAATTTGACAAAAAAAATGAAATTGAAAGGTGTTTGAAAGATGATTCTATTTAAAAAATAAAAAAAATAGTCGACTCGCCTATTGTGCCACTGCCAAAAGAGTTTAGATGGTACCTACTCCACCGTACACCCCACCAGATTAGCTCCAGTATAATTTACAAAAATTGACATAGAGTAGTCGGGTCAAGCAACAATTTGCCTCATATCAAGACGAATTATTTTTCAGAAGTAGAACCGTCAAGGGAAATTTTCCAGCCTTAAAATCATCAGAAGAACATATTTTCCAGCCAGGTCCTTGAAAAAAGAAATGTATTGCTTGTCAACGCAGAAAATGACCTAGTATAATCTCGTCTCTAGCATAATATGAATAATTATCTACATATAAAAAAGTTCTGGGATTCACAAAGCTCATTACAAAAACTATTTAATCATTCAATACAGTTATTTTGAACATCTATTATCTAGATACAAACCTTGAAATTTAAAATCAACATAATAAAAAAAATGTATGGAACAAAAGTGATGATTATAATTATCAACAATGTAGCGCAAAACTGCTATCAGTAAATTTTCCAAGACGGTAATGAATGATTAAAAAAAACTGTGGTTTGTCTATCAGAATAACTGTTACTGAATTATCTTGAAGTAACAATTTTCAACTTGATTTAGTGTATGTTGAATCATTGATGTCACATTACATTAATCTTTGTTTAATTATCTCAAGTATTCAACCTTATGTTTTAGAATATTCAAGATGTTGTGAAATTACTTCATTTTTGTTTTTTTGTCTCAGATGATGGTTCAATTCTTTAATAGTGTTATAAATAAGTGAAATAATTTGAATAAGAAAACTATATATAAATTTAACAGTAATATAATCAATAAATAATCTAAAATATTGTTCGCCTTCTATTATTTTGAATTTTCAATGTATACTCCAATAATATTCAATAAATAGATACTTCCATCCCTTTTATTATTTACACAGTAGTTCAATTTATAATACTGATCGAAACGATAGGCTGGTATATAAGAGGACGGTAAAAACGGACAATAACTATTCATAATTTAGTATAAATGTGGTTTACAAACTTTAACTGAAGATTAAAATATTTAGTTGAGTTGATGCTACTGCCTTTTTGGAGCTTTTGGTACTAACAGATTAGTGGTAAAACCAAATCTTTCATTTTCGGCGGGCTTGAAAACCATCTGACTCAATAATTACTTTTTGACAAGAAGCTTTGGGAAGTTATATTTGGCGACATCATACAGTATATCTCTTTCATTTTGGATTCTCTAATCGGAGCACAATTATCGAGTTATTTGAACTTGAATTGGCATTTTCAATCTTAGTACAACCATAAAACCAAATACCGCATTTGAAGCTTCAAGAGTGTTCTCGATAATGTTTCTATTTGTGGCTGCATCAAGTATCTGGTTTGACCGGGTATATACGTTCAGTATGAAGTCTGACCATCAGTGACATCACATGATAACTATATCATAACAGCAATGGGATATAATAGGTATTTTAATCCTACTTTGTCGAGTATTATGAATAATTTGAATAATTTTCATAAATCTCTCATTTGCTGGTTGAAGTTGATTACTGATAAAGATAAATTATGATATTTTGCAATAGTATCTATAATTTTTCACTTTCGTTATACCCGTTCCTTCAAGAAACGGATCTATTTTCTAGGAAAGTTGCAGATTATATATTGCAGCAGCTCATAAAACTTTGAGCCCGTCCACACCACAAAAAACACTGACCGGCACACCAGTCATATAGATTGCTTTATTTTGAGAATAAAAATGACTTGGACTTTATCGATGACCATTCTGTAAAGCATTGACATAAAACTGAGGAGTTTCGAACTTATTTTATGAAAATGCATCTAAAGAAAATTCTTCATTTACGGTCGTAATAATCGACCCACCGAACACAATATCGGCGATAGCACCCGAAGAACTTCAAACTCAATTTTAAAATTAAACTGTCCAACACGTAGCAAAATGAATGAAGTCGTAATAATGCGTGTGCGCGAAGACTATGAACAGTTTGAATCTACTCGACGTCGTACTCAACATGTTGGTTCAACGGCGAAAGGATCCAGGTTTAGAAACATCAATGTCCGACTCGCGGAAGAATTCAAGCCGCCACACCTGCGATTGCGTCGAGTTGTGTGGTCGAGGTTGAGAAATCATTTCGGTGATCAGCTGATTTCACGTTTTGGACCAGTGAAATGGACGCATAGCTCATGTGATATTACTCCGATAGGTTATTTTCTTTGGGATTACACGATTACGCTAATAAGCCAGCTTCGGTTGAGGTATTGGAATAAAACCTACTAGTGTTATTGCCCAGATTGGAATGGACCACCTAAGACCCAAGACGAATGACAACTAATCTTCATATATTGATGAATTATAAAAATTTCACCATCCAATGGAGATCGCGCTACTGAGACGTAAGGTTAAAGTTGGTAGAACTGATAGGTATACTTCTTCTTTCCGTTTCATTTGATCCTTTTGATCTAAAAATTGTGCGTAAAGTTCGACACATATAGTAAAATGTGCAACACTGTTCAAGTCTAACTATAACATGATCTTTCACATTATATTTTCATAAAATTTTTCAAGAAACAGGTCCTAACCTTCAGGGTTATCCGACAAAATTTTGGGACTTTCGACTTTGACATAGACCTCACGCTCTAGTAATACCAACTGGTTACACTGAAAATGTTACCCCTCATTCGATCTAGTGTGTTTTATTTCAAACTATTTTCCTGGAGCTCATGGTCAATCACCCTTTATGAATTTGACTATTAGAAATATGCGTTAAAGTTTGTATACCACCTCCTAAGACCCACTGTATAAATCTAAAGGAATGAAAGTACTGAAGCATCTTGAACAAGATTTTAACTGTACTATACACTACTCCGCCTTGCGGACTTTATTTTTTTTAAAGACGAGTTTTAAAATTGGTGCGTAAATGATCGGCCAGAAGCAGAACACTATGACCCCTACGTAACTACAATTGGCGAATGCTTGTAGGTAGCTGCGAAAATCGAATAGTGCGAACGGCAAAAGGCACCATCCCATAAGTACGAAAGTGTAGATCCTCAAAACAACTTGGATAGGCGTCTGTAATTGTGGTAAAGCAAAAAACTTTGTTAGAGTTTCGTTAGACTTCACCAGTGACTTGATCTGCAACAAATATATATCCAATAAACAAATTGTCGACAAAGCTGGAACAGTATGGTGTATAGGGTATCAAAAGAATTAGTTTTCAAAACATCGAGTCATCTTTCGCTTTAGAGAGCTGGCAAACAATCTGCAGTGGCATACCCTCTGAATCTCACAACCACATATATAATTCTTCCTCTTCGTTTTCTGTTCAGCTCATTACGAACTCTATGCGCCATCTTAGGAACAGCATTGTTGACTTGAACCCAACACTGAATCATTCGGAACTTCCGAAGCTCCGCAATTCATAAACTGTAACTCACATCATACATTAAGAGTCTGTTCTCTACTAGGGATTCAATTCACGATCTTGATATACACACTTCACTAATGCATAGTGGCAAAGTTTATTATGTACCTCCTCTTTATGACAGAACCTTCGTACAAGTTGCCTGCCAGGCCAATGGTACTTAATATACACTCACATGCAAAAAAAACGCAACAAGTAAATATTTGGTAAAATTTGAAGTCTCATAGTTTTTTTATTTTTACTTCAATTTCCAAAATTTTTTCAGCAAACTGTGGATAAAATCATTAATTTCAACTGGCACATTCAGTATTTTGTTAAATGCTGGCTCATAAGTCATTATACAGGGTTAACTAGAAGTATATTGATATACCCTAATTTTAAAACATCCTGTGGAATAATTTCGTGGTCAAATTCTTTCAAAATACGAATTTTTGTTAAGAACCGATCCTTTTCAACATTTTGTTTTTTGGTTCAAGTCTTTAGTTGCTTTAGTTGATTTTTAAGAGGGAAATGAACTCCAAACAACAGAGTTCACCTAATTTTAAGAAATGTTATTTTTTGACGACATGGATTTGCTCATTGTGCCATAATGTCAGTATGACAGCTCAGTTCATGAGTGTTACAATGAAATGGCAGCAATATATTGTTTAGTTATAATAATAAACAATTAATACAAAATTTATTTATGCAAACTCATTCAATTCAAATTAAAAATCAAACTTCAAAACAAACCAGTTCAACTGTAACTTAAATAACCTGATGAGGAAACGTACTTTTCACAACAAAATCAGCTTAATATTTTGTATTACCACCTCTGGATCTCACAACTGCCTGCATACGTTGGTTCATACTGTCAATTAGGTTTCGAATAGCATCTGAATGGCTGAACAAAGTTCATTTATGGTAGCCGGAGCTACTTCACAATCTCTGACTCGCCTACCAAGCATGTCCCACACATGCTTTATGGGATTGAGATCAGGCGAACATGCTGGGCAGTTCAGTTTGTTAATACCTACTTCCGCGAGGTATTGTGTGACACAAATTGCTGTATGTGGCCGCGCATTATCCTGCATCAGGATTAAGTCATGGCCGATGAATCCACTAAAAGCTACCACGTAATTGCTTAATATCTCTTCAATATATCGGTGAGCCGTTAAAGATCCATCGATGACCACCAACTCAATGCAGGCCTCCCTGGATATTCCTGCCCAAACCATTACTGAACCTCCTCCATAACTCAGATGGGGACTGAACGTGCATTCTGCAAATCTTTCTCCGTTCCTTCTCCATACTCTTTTCCGTCCATCTGGAGAATGTAAGCAGAATGTGGATTCGTCAGTGAAAAGAACATTGTTCCATTGCCCCAAGTTCCAATGTAAATGTTCTGTAGCAAATTCCAGTGTAGCTACTTGGTGACGCGGAAGTAATTTGGGTCCCGTTGCTGGTCTGCAAGCTTTCAAACCAAACTCCTTCAATCTTCGGCGAACTGTCCACACACTAACATTTGTACCTCGAACCTCTTGAAGTTGATTTCTAGACTGCACTGATGTTAAATGACGATCCCGCAGAGTATTTACATGAAGTAATCTGTCATCAATAGCAGTCGTTTTCTGCCACTACCTGCCCTACGCTTATTTCTGCCAGTTTGTCTAAAACGTTCGATTACTCTTTTGATGGTTGAGCGATGAACATGAAGTATCATTGCAACATATTCATAATTACGTCCTTCTTCAACAAGAGCGACAGCTTTTGCGCAATTTTCCGCACTTAAAACCATGGTTAGAGTTCCTTAAGGTCTCTCACTGTCAAACTGAAATTAGGACAACAACGAGCAAAGCCACCTCTTCAAAAAATTACATTTTTCAAAGTAAACGTTGATGATAAGTTCATTTCCTTCTTAAAAATCAACTAGTGCACCTAAAGACTTGAACCAAAAAACAAAATGTTGAAAAGAATCGGTTCTCAACAAAAATTGGTATTTTGAAAGAATTTGACCACGAAATTATTCCACAGGATGTTTTAAAATTAGGGTATATCAACATACTTCTAGTTAACCCTGTATAATGACTGATGAGCCAGCATTTAACAAAATACTGAATGTGCCAGTTGAAATTAATGATTTTATCCACAGTTTGCTGAAAAAATTTTGGAAATTGAAGTAAAAATAAAAAAACTATGAGACTTCAAATTTTACCAAATATTTACTTGTTGCGTTTTTTTGCATGTGAGTGTATGTTTTGACCTAAAATGTCCTTTGATTATTATTCTAGTTACTCTTCTTCTCTGGCTCAGCAATTGTTGGTGATGACACTCTTCAGGCTGTCTGTCACATTTTATGCAAATCTCCACCATATTTGGAATTTATGTTACATCCATGTTTTTTCCATAACTTCCGATATACAGGGTGAGTCATGACTAGCCAGCCATAGCCTAATGGTAGATAGAGGAAGTCAAGGTGAGTTGATATATATGTGGAAAAATATATTTTGCCTATTCGTAACAGAAATACAGGGCATTATTCGAATTTGGGGCGAAACTTTGATGAACGATATTTCAGGAACGTTTCGATGTTATCGCCTGAAATCCACCAGCAACTTACCTCTACTGACACATCAGAGTTGGAAAGATCCAGAAATTCCAGGACTGGACTTTCAAAATATGGAAATGAGTACCTAATTTTCAAACAAATTTCCAGTACCTACCTCCTCTCCCTATCCTCCCTAAGTACGCACGATGTTCTTCGAACATTATAGGAATTTCCTTCCGTGTGCTCCAATAGATAAAAAAATATAAAAAATTATTGCTTGGGTAAAATATTATTTACGAATCAGATATACTTGCCAACTCATACAACAATCAGCGAATCAGATTGTGAGTTTGGTGTTTTCATTATTCAGATAACACTACGAAAGAAGACTGTGATGGATGTATGAAAATGGACATATGGATATAATCAGAAATAATGAGCAAATTATTCGAAAAACCATAAGAGATCTTCCGAAGATATGCAGAATATGGAGGAGGACATTTTGATAAAGTTCGTTGATATTCTGATATACAGACGAACCTTTTTCGAAAATTATGTTTTGTAATTCTTTCCAAAAACCAAGTCCGGTCTCTCTCTCAACTCTGCTGCCATATCAATATGCAAAAAAACGGATTCGAATTTTAGCAGAACGTAGAGAGTAATGGCCCGGACGAAAACGAAAAAATATTCGTCTGAATTTTGATTGATATTTCTTCACCAATCCGGTCGAAGTGTGCCGTACAAATTGAAAAGCTACACTTGTAGTGTTTTTCCTAATCTTCCTGATTCTGATGAAAGTTTTTGAAAAATTTGATTCCAAAAGTCGAGTTTTGACATTTAAAAAGAAAAAGAGTTTTTCTGGAATTTTTCTTCCATAGTAGGCCATCGTGTGGTGTCTCAGTAGAGGTAAATTGCTGGTGAATTTCAGACGAAAACATCAAGACGTTCCTGAAACATCGTTCATCAAAGTTTCGTCCTGAATAGGCAGAATATATTTTTTCACATATATATCAACTCACCTTGACTTCCTCTATTCGCCATTAGGCTATGGCTGGTTAGTCATGACTCACCCTGTATAAGCGGTTCTGGGCCATTCAGAGAATTTTTTTCCTTCCTGAGGATAATGATTCAGCGTCCAATTTATCCAGGCTAAGAACAGTTTGCTATGATTTCCTGCTCTTTTAGGGCTTCATACACATACTAATTAACATCAGAGAAGTGTGATTTTGTCACTTGTCACTTGAAAACGTTTGTTTGTCAGTACGACAGGCGAGTGCAACAAATACTGATATCACCTTCACTTAGGTAAATGTTTACATGAGAACTGTAGACATCCTCAGGCAAATTTTTACATTAGAAGTTGCTGTGAACAACCATTCAAAGAGCATACCTGACCTTGCAGTAAAATAAATCCAGGAAACCATTAAAACAATTATTGAATTAATTAACTTCCAGATCCAATTTTCATTTCCTTTCAGTCATTTATTATCCATCTGATAAAATAAATTTGACTAATTCACTTACTTTGATTCCTACACCTTGCTAATCTCTTTCATGTTGACAGGAAAAGTAAACTCAACATAGTTTATGATTTGAATTTTTAACTAGAGAGTACCTTCAAGTTGAGAAATCGAGAGTGATCAATGAGAGATTGAAAGATATGAATTTCAATCTCCATCACTAGCCCTAGAATTTACTTCTCGTCAAGTCGAGAACTGGTAAAGGATCAAATACCAAAGTCTTCATCATCTGGGTGTTGAAAATTTGAGCATTAAAGATAAAACTTTCCCTGATGTAATATTGAAGGGGTGGGTGGAGGTTACTGAAGTGCTTGGAAAAATGTGCTAATATACATAAAATTACATTTAAAAAAATTGCCCACAGATCTCGTAATTTTTTTTATACATCCTGCATATGCGTCAATGATTTTTCGTTATAGAACCTGCCATTTAATTCACAATCGTTTCCAGCTATCATGAACTCAAGCAATCAGACTCTGACGCATTCTTTCCCCAACCTGTATATCAATCATGTGAATATGTGGAACGTCTGGAAAACACGCAAAAATTCAAAAGGTAACTTACATCTCGCTCCATGTACATGGTAGCAAACTCGAAGAAGAAACAAACATAATATCCTGAATGGAATCCGTGCCATACGGCTAGGAACAGCAAAGCGGCTATTTGACTCAAGTAGCGATTGCCGAGAAACTTCAGCCTTTTATAAACGTACTGGGCTACCCAATGATTAGTGTTCACGTTGAAAGACTGGATGTACTCGCCGAATTCGGTGGTGTTCTCGAAAATGTCGACTCTGATGTTCTCAACGCCATTCCATTTTGGCTCGCCTTTCTCGTCTTCTCCATTATAAGCCAAACCTAGAATTCAATTGCACGGTTCAAGTTAAGCATAGGGTTACCAGCCCTGCTGATTTCAATGAAACAATCAACTTTATTATTCCCAAGAAATAACATTTGTTTATAGCAGGGAACATGGAGAATACACATTTGATATATTCAACAAACTAAAGAAGATATTAAAATAAGACTGACTCTCAAGAAGGAATCTTTTTTTGTTCATCAAGTTCATCTGAAAATTATTATTATTTGACACAGCAGTTGATGACATGTCAATATTACAGGTCAAGTGCCACATGAGGCCAACCCAAAATTACACAAAAATATGGTATATGGGCCGCGTGTAGCCGACCTGGACTCACATGTTAGTCCGTTATAAAATATTGTGTAGCTCCACAATGACTTCTCCTATCCATTTAAAATAGACGGGAGCGTTTTCGGTTCGGCCAGATGGTCTAGAAACCGTACTTGGCCTGTGCTTCTGACTGTACAAGCTCATTGTTACCTACCCTTTCTAAACTAATTGAAAAACTGGTAAAAAAACAGAGGGATGACATTTTTGGGGAATCACATTATAAATTCTTTTCAATTCGGGTTCCAAAGTGCAAAAGGAACAAGTGATGCTATTTTTAACCTACTACAAGATGTTTATTTCAATCTTAATGATGGTCATATTACGGCTTCAGTTTTTTGTGATCTAACTAAAGTATTCGACTATGTCAACCATAAAATTTTGCTCAATAAATTAGAAAGGTACGGCTCCAGAGATGTAATTCTAAAATGGTTGTAGGCATACTTATTAGGTCGGACTCAAAGCGTAGGTATCTCTCCAGAACAAATTTTCAAAAAAGTGGGAGATCAAATGGGAAGTACCGCAAGGATCGGTGCTTGGCCCAATGCTGTTCTTGATCTTTATTAATGACCTAGCTTCTATAAATATGACGGGAAAATTTACCCGATTAGCAGACGATACTACAATACTATAGCATAATGCAAATGACATGGATCTGCACGAACAAATCAATAATGATGTAACCAAGATAAAAGCGTGGTGTGATGCCAATATGCTTTCTCTGAATATATCAAGAACTAATATATAAAAGAGATCAACTAACTTCCTAGGTTTATACATTGATGATAAGTTGAAGTTTGAAGATCATATAAGGATACTGGGAAGAAAAATAGCCTCTGGATGTTTCGCAGTGAAAACTACCTCATGGGAACTTGGTAGGGAGATGGCCAAAAAAGTTTACTTTGCTGTAATTGATTCACATCTCAGATACGGGATTTGCTTTTGGGGATCTTCTAGAAGAGTTCTATTTGACACAATTTTCGTATTGCAGAAAGGGACATTAAGATAGATGTGCAAAGCCAAATTCAGGGACTAGTGTAAGCCTTTATTCATAGCACAAAGAATCTTACTACTACCATGTATCTGTAATTTGGAAACAGTATGCCCTATCCAAAGTAAGTTTAGAGGAGTGCAATCAATACCACAATATATCGATAGACAAGCTCTTGATAGAACTTATTTTATTTATTATTTCATCTAATTTGGAGTTGAAAAGAAATATAGGAAGGGAATTTGATAAAAAGGTGATCTTGACCTGATAAGCAAGCGGTCTCGCACGTCAATGCAGCTGATCTTCAAAAAGTTTGTTTTCACCAAGGCTGTTAGAACTGTTATAAACGGAATTTCATGTTGGGTTCACAGAAATGTAAGCATAATGGGGTTGTACAGGGTGGGCAAAATTGGGCGTTTTCGCCGTCTATCTCAATAACTAGAGGAGTTATCAAGAAACCGATATACATGTTCCGGGTTCGATTTTGAAGAAACCTCGAATGGCACAATCAAAATTTCGATATCTTCATTCGTTTTAGAGATACAGGGAGAAATTGAAAATTTGCCGATTTCGATTTTATTTTCTGACTACTTTACGGTGAGAGGTATCAAAAAATTTCAAACGTATATTTATACAGTATGATGCGTGGAATCCATTGGCATCATCAGAAATTTTATACAGGGTGACGTTGAAAAGATACGGCAGCCAATTATGTTTTTTCTAATGGAACACCCCGTATATTTTGGCACAGTTGAATAGTCCCAGGCGTTCTCATTACAAATATATATACAAGGTGATTCTAAAATAGGTGGTCAAATTTTGGAAGCATATAGAGTGGGTGAAATAATTACGAAAACCTCTGTAACATTTTTTTCTGAAGTGACCCCCAAGAAAGATACAGCCCCTCAAAGGTGGGCCTCGGAGAATGATTTTGTATTATTATCTCCAACACCTTGTATAATGAAAATCTGAAATTTTGTCCATCCACCTACTATTCAGTGCCGGTTCAAATGGAGTTAAAATCACCTCAAAATAAAATACAGGGGTGTCTCAAAATAGGGAGGTAGGGGGTAAAAATAACCCCAACTTTTTTGTTCATTGCAATTTCAGTTTTTTGACATGAAATTATGAAATATCAGGGCTTTTTACATGAAAAAGGTGCTCTTGTTGCATCTCGATAAAATTAACTATTAGCGAATAAAATTTAAAAAAAGCTTGTTTTTAACAATATTTTTCATTTTAGTATTTTCAATAGGATCAGACCATAATCACGAAACTCGTCGTCCATTGTTAATTCATCAATTCCGACAATGAATTCAAAATTTCCAACCCCAAAAACCCTTACAAACCAATTTTGAATCGAATCGAACAATAATCACAAATCTGGTCAGCCACATTGGAGCCGCCCTATTTTTTTCTATCAAAAAGTCCATAACGCGTTGTCAACTTTCATCTGCCAGATTTCAAGTTGATCAGACGATTAGATGTAGGTGAAAATTCAGTTGCAAGATTCGAACTAGATGATTAAACTCAAGTGCATACCAAAATTTCAATTTAAATGAAATCTTGGAAAAATAAATTTTATTCGCTTATGGTTCAGTTTATCGAGATCCAACAAGAGCTCCTTTTCTATGTTGATAGCCCAGAGATTTCATAATTTCATGAAAAAAAACTGAAATTGTGATGAACAAAAAAGTTGGGGTTATTTTTACCCCCTACCTCCCTGTTTTGACACACCCCTGTATTTAATTTTGAGGTGATTTTAACTCCATTCGAACCGGCACTGAATAGTTAGTGGATACACACAATTTTAGATTTTCATCATACAAGGTGTTGGAGATAATAGTACAAAATCATTCTCCGAGGCCCCCCTTTGAGGGGCTGTATCTTTCTTGGGGGTCACTTCAGAAGAAAATGTTACCGAGGTTTTCGTGATTATTTCACTCACTCTATATACTCCCAAAGTTTGACCACCTATTTTAGAATCACCTTGTATAACCCTACTTTTTCCTTCCACAATTTTAGATATATTCGTAACAATATATTCAGTGTGTCACATTTCTTATGGTTACACCCCCGTATCTTCTGTAAAAATAATTGAGGTAGGATTCAAAAATTCGCAACTGTCAGAAAGATACAAATGATACACTCATGGAGTCATGGACCAAGTGGGATCATCTCCAATGATAACACTGCTCGCCAGCAGCTATGGAATCATCGATATTTCTGGATAATGTTATCAACAGGCAGAATCGAGGTTGAAAATGACACTCTGTATATATTCACCAAAGGTGGAAAATGAATATCATAGGGAATGTTATTTCCAGACAAATGGATCTTTAGTGAGAAATAAAATGGGAAATTATTCGATTTGATATCATTGTTATCAAGACATTTGAGATACAGAAATAAGACCAATAATTTACTCAATTAGGAAATTAGTAGGTTGCGTTGGAAAATATAGCCTTATAGAAGATGTCCAAATTCCAGATACAGAAGATACGGGGGTGTAACCATAAGAAATGTGACACACTGAATATATTTTTGCGAATATATCTGAAATTGTGGAAGGAAAAGGTAGGGTTATGTATATATTTGTAATGAGAACGCCTGGGACTATTCAACTGTGCCAAAATATACGGGGTGTTCCATTAGAAAAAAATATAATTGGCTGCCGTATCTTTTCAACGTCACCCTGTATAAAATTTCTGATGATGCCAATGGATTCCACGCATCATACTGTATGAATATACGTTTGAAATTTTATGATACCTCTCACCGTAAAGTAGTCAGAAAATAAAATCGAAATCGGCAAATTTTCAATTTCCCCCTGTATCTCTAAAACGAATGAAGATATCTAAATTTTGATCGTTCCATTCGAGGTTTCTCCAAAATCGAACCCGGAACATGTATATCGGTTTTTCGATAACTCCTCTAGTTATTGAGATAGACGGTGAAAACGCCCAATTTTGCCCACCCTGTACACACTAGTTCAATTTATGCCACATACCGATGAGCACAAATAGTTTAATATCTGTCAACCAATGAAAATGTATCTACATTCATATAAATGGAATTTCACTTCCACAGTAGGAGTGTACCGAGATACACACAATAGATAAGTCATATTGTGTATAAGTTGCAGTGGATTGATTGGTGTATATGTTGTCACGCGTTTTCCCGCGTTTTTCATGTTTGAAATATCGTGAATTTCAATAATTTGAAAAATGTACAGAGCTCTGACTTAAAAACGGTATAAAACAGTGAACCAGTTTGGATTAGTACTTCAAAATAATAAGACAACATTTTTCACCAAACCAGATCCATACAATTTCGTGATATTATTGATTATTAATTTAATTTCCAAAAATCATTATCATCACTTATTGATAGAAAACCCCATGTGTATTGAACTTACCGAAAAGTATACAGCTTCCTTCAGTCAACAACCAGCAAGATATATATTTGTACAGGGTATATCTTCCCCACGTACCCATCAATAACATTCTTTTGAAGAAATTCCTATTCCCAAATTCTTCTGTCAATAAATACTCATCAGTAACAAAACAGCCAAGAACTTGGAAAACTATGAGATAGAATACCCCCATGCATAGTCTTCTTATTGATTCTTCAGCACAATCAGGTGGTAGATTTGTTCCCTAAAAATAACTCAATCATTTTATTATACAAGGTGGTCGAAGTTATCCACCAATATTGGTGTGGCTGACAGTACACTCGTCTTCAGTGAACATGTCGCGGTTGGACGGTATGAGCGCTCTTATTGCAGCGGTGATTAGAAGAGCTGACACCGTCCATGTGCGATCATATCTGAAGACGACTGTACATCAAAATACAAATTACTATTTTCTATGTAATAATTTCCAAAAATAAATATTAAGAGGGATAACAAACATCAATTTCCATACATCATCACAGAATAACCTAAATCAAAGATGAAAGAAATTATGTTTTCCTTTTTGTTGTATTTTTATAGAAGCTTGTCTTTGAAAAGATTTTTTTATATATTTTTATTTGTGTCTAGAATGTGAAATGATACTCTCTAATAGATTGTGCGAAGCCAGTGCAGTTTTGAAAATGGCGGAATCATTGAATATGAATAGTTCGAAAGGCAAATTGTTAATGGCAGTCTTATCATCATCAATGAGTAGTGATGAAGAGTTGGAGGTTTAAATGAATGAGAGATTACTTCCTAAAATTCGTAATTTTGTTTGAAAGTGTCGTGCACCCATTAGATAATGAAGAGGTACCCAATGGAAAAAGTGCTTAAAATTGCATTGTATACAATAGGATATCTGATTTCTCAAATAGATTCAGCATAATAAATAATTGCCAGCACGGTTTTAGACATGGAAAGTCCACCCAAACTGCTGCTGCCAGTCTTCTAGAACAAATTTATAAAGAACTTGACAAGGGTAAGCATGTGGCAGGGCTGTTTTTCGACTTGACGCGAGCTTTCGATTGTCTTGATTTTGGATTTATAAAAAATAAACTGTTCAACACGGGATTTAGGGGCATATTCTCAGATTGGATGTTCAACTATCTCACAGAACGTGAAAATATCTAATAAATACTCGGAACTACACAGAGTAGAAACTGGAGTTCCTCAGGGATCCGTGCTGGGACCGTTGATTTTCTTGCTCTTCATCAACGACTTACCACAGCACATGAGTTCGAATGTACTTACACTATTTGCTGACGACACATCTATAGCGGTCTCAGCAGGATCCCATGAGGAGCTTCAAGGATTAGTTGAGGACGTCATTCTGAAGTTTTTCAGCTGGTGTAACAGAAATGGATTGATTCTGAACTTGGGTAAAACTGAATGCATATACTTTCATTCACATAATGCTCCAAGTAATGAATTGCTATTTCTCAATATAAGAGACACACAAATAACATCAACAACTTGTACTAAATTCCTAGGAGTCTATGTTGATCACAATCTGAGGTGGACTGATCACATAACGCACTTAGTGAAAAAACTCAATTCAACCTACTTTGCGATTTCGCGGATAAAACATTCTTTGCCCACAGATGCCTTACTGAATGTCTATTTCAGCCTCGCATACAGCAATCTGACCTATAACATTGTCTTATGGGGTCAGTCTATAGATAGGCAGAAAATATTTGTTGCACAAAAAAAAATCTTAAGGAATATTTTTAACATGCATCCTCGTGATTCTTGCAAGCAGGTCTTTATCGAATATAACCTCATGCCTTTTCCATGCATCTACATATACAGAAGCCTACTGTATGTGAGGGAAAATTTATCCAAATATACCAAAAAGTCATCATTACATAATTACGAAACCAGACATTCTGACTTTTTATCTATCCCTAAACACAAAACCAAAAAATTTGAAAATTGCATTTCATATATGGGAATCAAAATGTATAACCATCTTGCCAGTAGCTACAAACTTCACAATGATAACCTCTTCAAAAAATCTGTAAAAGAACTACTGTTGAGAAAATGTTATTACAGTATTCAGGAGTACTTCTCGGACAGAGAAATATAATGTTAGATTCAAATCCAGTATAGTGACTGATTTTTTTGTTCAAGTGTCTCATTCTTTCTGACTTATCCTATACATTGTAAAAATGTCCTACAGGATCAATAAATATTATTATTATTATTATTTTGTATTACATTGGGAATGCACCAGTTCACATTTTGGATAAAACCATCGTTGCAAAACTGGTGCAAAACTAGTGCACCACCAGGTTTACAAATAGAACTCGGTGATACTGTGTTGAATATGTAAATTGCCGGGAGTGGCATTATGCCCAATTTTGTGAAGAGTGTAAACGTGTGCTTTTTATTTCTTTTCTTGTCTAGTATCATATCTCAAGTCATATATCATAGTTCCAACATATTCTCGCCCTAAGAAACATACACAGGACCAGTATTCAACACACAGTGTTTTGACAATCTCACCTTCCTGCTATATTTGCCAGCAACAAACTCTTGATACCGTTTCATAGAGAATTGTGGTCCGACCAGAAATGAAGTCGGGAAAAAAGCATGTCCGAACATTTCGAGGATGCTAGGCCTTTTCTGCAATGCCACCTTCTTGTTTTCACTCGACAACTGCTCAATCGGCTGCTGCCCATCATAATAGTCAAATGCAACAGCTACAATAATAATTATTATTAGTTCTAAAAATAATTAGTCACAACGTATGTATATTCCAGGGTTTGTCGTAGTGTAATCGTTCTGGGAATTCGCTAAATGTTCGATATTCCCCATCACTTCCGGTTTCAGTGAAAAACAAACAATTTTGGAATCTCAAATAAATGAAATACTCCGTATATTTTCAATGTTTGAATTCCGGTAATGATTATGAGTGAACGTTAATTAAACGTTCAGCAGCACTGCATAAGTCATTGAGGAGAACTTTAAAATTACATAGCTATCAAATAATTTGATTTTGCCAAAAAGGTATTATTTTCCTTCTTACGTTTTTTTGGGATGTTCTCTCCTCGTTTTTATAAAATAAAAATATGAGTATTATTTCAATATATGTGTAGTGAGGACAAATCAGATGATTTGCCCCATAATGTCACTGCATTTAACCCTCAAATTCCCATTCCATCAAAATCAACGTACCCCACCCATGCGGGGTCCTTCAGAGGCCTCTGCTAAATATATGATTTCAAATTAGTTTAATGTTATTTTTGAATCAACTAAGTTTCGAAAAAACCATAATTATTGTTCAGATATTACATGAAACTTTATTGGATATTCTAAAGAAGAAATTAAAAAATATATACATTTTCTGTACCGAAACAGTTTTAACCATTGGAAGTATCACTCTTATAGTCAGCTTCAGACTCCTATAATCCATGTTCTCGGCTATTTTCTATATCTCACCTTGTATAAGGGGTCGCTTTCTATGAGAATCACTCAATTTTATAGCTCTGAAGAATAAAAATATTAAATAGTAGATGGCATATCAAAAAATTAATGGGAGCTTACATAATACTCATATGGGGTACCGGCGAGACCCAAATCACCCCTACATCAGGTGCAAAATGTGGTCGCAAATTGAATAATACTCACAAACGTCAACACAAATACATACCAAGCGGCAGTGTTGCCGTTGTGCTCATATAAATGATTAATTGTAGAATTTCTGGACTTGGGTTTTTGAAGCGACCCCTTCGGGGGTTCAAGGGTTAAAAAGTTTCCTATCAGAGAGCCTAACAGGAAAATTCATTGAGTTGTCCTCTTTCGACGTTTCGGGAACGAACGATCATTTAAATAATACTCATATTTTTATTTTATAGAAACGAGGAGGAAATTTCAAAAAAATCCGAAAGAATGAACTTACCACCGCCTCGATTCACCTACAACCATTATTTAAAGTCATTTTTCCTCTAACGTAACCAGGCAAACCAGGTTTGACGTCACGGTTCTTTCATTTCAGTTTGTCAGTTATTTTTATTCATTCCAATTTCCCTGTTTTGTCTTAGTTTTGATAATAATACTAATATATTGAAAAAGAAAATTATCATCATTTAACTATTACGTCATAGTTTGAAATACACTTCGAGGAATATTGACTGTTCAACTTATAGGTCGCGTGCACGATGACCGACCGGAGGTAAAATATCGAAACACAACATCACTCTTCTGCAAAACATTGAAATACAATCCCACTTTTCTTATTTTTTCACAAAGAAATCAAAGGATTGAAATAGATTTTCACAATATTTTGGAATACGAATCGTGTTTTTTGGGTTATTCATTAATTCAAGCATGCCACCACATTTTGCTGTTGTACAATAATGCACAAAAAATGCAGCGAGAGACGAAGGTATATGATTTTTCAGGTAAATAGTGATCTCACATAGTTTTCATTATAAAATTCTGTCATTTCTCATTAGAATTCCCTTTGCCACTTCTGTAATAGAAGCTACTGCTAATAAAGTTGAAATATCTAGAACACATACGATCATATTTCGTCAGCATGTCAGACCACTCCTCCAGTTTCATTGCATAAATCCAATTTTCTATTCTTCTTGCATTCTTTTAGAAACTTCACGATTATTTCTATCAGCTCCTATTGCAGAAAGAATTCCAACGAGAAATGGGAAAATTTCAAAATGAAAAGTATATGTGAGTGACTATAGTTATTTTAAATCATGATGTACCAACCTGAAAAATCGGATTACTCCGACTCTCACTGCATTTTTTGTGCATATTACAACAGCACAATGTGATGGCATTCTTGAATTAATGAATAGCAGAGAGACACGATTCGTATGCCAAATTAATTGTGAAAAACCATGGGTGAAAAACTATTTCATATAACATATAGGAAAAGTGAGGTTGTGTGCCAATGTTTTGCCTCCAGGGTCGGTCATCTGACAGATCTTGCACGCAACCCATTGCTGACCCGGTTTTTGTGGTGAATTTCGAGGAAAAATGACTCAAGTATTCTTTCATTTCGTTTTTCTCCATTTTCTAATGCCCAGTTTATTTACCCCAGTTTCGGAAACACCTTATATACCCTCAAATATCCGGAAACTGTGGCTTATCTCACTTTTTTTATATTCCAAGATTCATTCATAAAATACATAAAGTATGTTTCATCAAACATCTTTGTAGAAACCAAAACTTTAAATGGTATCATCAGATCATTGAGCTTCAGAACTATCAAAAAAGCTCTGGGGTAGGTACAGAGGCAGCTTGATAATTTTGAGGAAATCGTACACCCGGGGATTCTTCAAGGTGGCTCACACCTATAACTTTTTTATTATTGAAGGTAATCCTAATTTTAGCAAAAAAACAGATGAATTTCAAAAATATAGGCATTTATTTTCGATGAGAGAACCATCTGAAATCATGGGCATCAATTCATTAGTTATGCAAATATCTGTCGATCTTTAGGCAAAGAATATAGGTTGATTGATTTTTTGAAACTGACATACGTATTGAAGGCGCGCTTACAACTTACAAGTAAGCGATCCGCGTTCAACGTATCAAATCCTCATTGGTGGATAGATTGACAGCCGTCGCGTAAATGTATGTTCACCCAATCACAACACGATTCTACAAAATCAGGTGGACATTGTGAATCTACCTTAGAATAGTTTATTTACAAGTGTCAATGGAATAATAGGAATTAATAATAATTTATTTTGACTTGCCAATGAATCAGAAACTTAAGCAGGACATGAGGATATTTTGTTTTTGTGAACGATAAATCATTATTTACCTATGTGCAATGTGGAATTTCTCTTTGTAATTTTAGGTTAGGAACAGATCTCAGGATATCTTCTAAATGAACATCTTCAATTCATCTTATTTTTCCATAAGCTGATGAATCATTCTGCTCAGTCTTACTGAAGGAAATAAAATGAATCATTTGAGAAATTCCTTGAAATTATTTCCTTCAGTATTCAAGGTAGGTTTGCAGATATGAAATAAAAATAACCATCATTTCGAATGAAGATTTTAATCAAATCAATAACAAAATAAATCAGTAAAATGTAGGAAATAGTTTTCAATATACCACATTTATTTTCTTGATTAATTTGATCTTTCTTGGTGTGATAGCTGAAAGTTGCTTTTCTGTCTGCACTTGAGAATCAGACTTCTGCACAAGTGTCTGTGTTCCTGTGTCCACCATATCTGGTTCTGTTTGGGTACCAATGCTTCTTGCTCTTGTGTCCATCCCATCTTCAGAGCTATCATCTATTTCCATAAAATGACCTACTTCTATATTTTCATCACTGAAATATGAATGCTCCCCATGTATGGAGCCTGATAAAGATACCTTAGATACCTATAAGATCAAGTGTAAGTATGTAAAATACAATAAAATCAGGACCATTTTACCACCAAGTTTAGTATGGGAACAGCATTTTCTTTCAGTTTGTGCTTTTCTATCAAATGATCCTCAAAATATAGGATCAGTAGCCCTTATCAATTCATCATTGCACGCCAGTTGCCATGAATTCATTCTCACTTCTTGGGTCCTAGGATTAGGGAACCTAAAAAATCTCGATGGTGTATGTTGATTATTATCTAAGTACTTACTCTTGCAGTCTTTGACTGCACATTTTAGTCCTCCAGGTCTCCCCATTGCCAAGTTTATCTACAAAAATATATCATTTCTACCTCAGCAACCCTAGACACTAGAAAAAATCAAATATACCTACACTAATAGGTCGCGTGCAAGAACTGTCAGATGACCGACCCTGGAGGCAAAATAAATTACATAACCTCACTCTTCTTTTATGTTTATATCTGTCATAGATAAACTACATTGTTTTTTGGAACATTTTCACTATTTTTCACTGCATTCGAGAGATCATTCTGAAAAATGGACCTGAGAACATATTGTTCAAGTTTAGATGATGTTCATCGCCAACGATATGTGGAGAAAATTTCAGTGTTGGGCATTGACCCTTATCTCTTCATGATGGAAGAATTATCAGCAGACATTTCCCTCTTTCCCCAAATTATGTATCCAGACATCGTCAACTATTTGGTTACTACAAAGAGTGCTTTCACTATGACCGAGATGAAAGCATATAAAAGCTTGGAGGCTTACAATCTAGCCATTTGTGGATGGGTGAAAAAAATATGTGTGAAACATATTAATTCTCATATTCTAGTTATTGGAAAGGTACAATAGACATATTCAGAGAAGAACATAGAACTTTTACCTATATAATTTTTCAGGTCATGCATTCACAAAGACTTAATGATAAACTATTAACTCCATGGATTATTTCTCTGGGAGATGGAACCATTCTAAGTGCTCATTGTGATTGTGTTGCTGGCTTAGGAGAGGTTTGCACTCATGTAGCTGCAGTTTTATTTTCTATTGATGATGCCATTCGTAAACGGGAGAATGTAACCAGAACAGGTGTGAAAGCATATTGGATGCCTCCATCAAATAAACCAGCTGAACCATGCCGTGTGTTAAACTTGAATCTTGTGAATCCCAAGAAATTGAAACTCATGGAAGATGAACCTTTATACACCAGGAAGGCACCATTAGATATATCTTCCATTACAAAGGAACAGAAAGATGAGTTACTGAGAAATTTAGCAGAGGCCAAAGGGGCAGTTCTTCATTCCATTACCAAACCATTTTCTGAATCATTGCTGGATGACT